CAGACAACATGGAGCCGGCTTCTCGGGCAATTAGATTACCCAGGAAGCCGGCTCCATGCCAGCAGAAGCATGGGTATGGGTACTCAGTATCGACGAGTACCGAAAGCAAAGTATCGGTACTCGTACTCGATACCAAAAGACCGGTATTGGTGCATCCCTAGTTGTTCTGGACATATTATCTAATTGTGGTGCTCTAACTTTTGCACTTTGTTCCGATCACTCTGGAGACCCCATGGAATACCTCCAGGGATAAAGAGCTGCCTTCTTAGATGAAAGTCCGTATTAAAATCACATACATATGTGGGACCAGCGCTCCACCAACAGCTGCCTTGCATGAAATAAATAAAAGTAACATTGTGGCTTTAGCCAATCATTTTTGGCATATTGATATTTCATGGCTCGGGTAACTGTGGAGGTGTGGCTGGGGTTGGTCTTTTGCCTACATGTCTTATGGGAAGTACAAAGCAAAACAGAGCGCCTCCATCGTGTAGAAAGTCATTTATTAGTACGGCAACACAGCTGAAATTATACTCACAAAAATAGTCGATCAGTAAAAGCATGTAAAAGGCGATGCAATGGAAATCTCTGGCAGCGGGAGTCTCACAGCATGAAACAGATCAAAGGTCCTCTGCCCCTATGAGTTCGAACGGTCTACACGTTTCAGGGGCACGCCCCCTTCATCAGAACCTGCATGAAGGGGGCGTGCCCCTGAAACGTGTAGAACCTGCATGAAGTAGAACCTGCATGAAGGGGGCGTGCCCCTTCATCAGAACCTGCATGAAGGGGGCGTGCCCCTGAAATGCGTAGACCGTTCGAACTCATAGGGGCAGAGGACCTTTGATCTGTTTCATGCTGTGAGACTCCCGCTGCCAGAGATTTCCATTGCATCGCCTTTTACATGCTTTTACTGATCGACTATTTTTGTGAGTATAATTTCAGCTGTGTTGCCGTACTAATAAATGACTTTCTACACGATGGAGGCGCTCTGTTTTGCTTTGTACTTCCCAGATCGAAGGTCTATTTGACCGGTGGGAGCTGCCTCATCAGTGTATCTGCAAAATGTCCAAATTGGATACTCTCTTGCAACCGGCGGCGCCGGTATTTGTTTGGTTCTTATGTCTTATGCCTACATGTCATTGCTTGAGGAAAAAACGGTGGTCGCATCTTTGTGACATGACGTATTTCTGCAATAAATAAGACTTTGTTTCATGCTTATATTGGAGTGCCGGTGTCCCTGTTTTCTGCTTTCTCATGTTAAAAGGCGTCCCAGTTTCTCATCCCAAAAAGTTGGGAGGAACGCTGTATAGACCTTTGTTTTTAGGTAGGATGACTGTTAAAGGAGAACTATGAGGTGAGTGCTTTTCACTCACCTCATAGTTCTAGCCGACCTGTGATAATGAGACTGTCACAGGTCGGCTCAGTAGATCGGGAGGTGAACGAACACATACCGGGTTCGCTCACCTCTCGATCCTGTCACGGCTCTCTGCCGTGACAGGGGGAGGGGCTGGATTCCCCCCTCCCCGCTCCGATCTACCAGCGGTGACTGGCGGAACGGACGGGGGAGGGGGCGGGTACAGCTGGCTCTGCCTCTAGATAGGTAGAGCCAGCTGTCACTCACACAGCTGGGCGGATCCCGTCATCTAAGTCGGGATCCGCTCCGGCGTCTCAGTATACCACGAGCTTTAGCTCGCGGTATACTGAGCTTAGGGTAATGGGAGGACGCTAGTTTGTGTCCTCCCGTTACCCTAAGGAGAACTATGGGGAAAAACACTGACCCCATAGTTCTCCTTTAAAGAAATTCCAGAATGAACTAGATAAAGGTCATTGTTAGGTGATTTGGCTGCTTGGCATTTACAGTAGAAACCCCCTTTAATTTGAGTCCTGTTGAACCGTACTCCCATATTTCTAGCCCTCTGTATTTCTAAATGCCATTTCTTCACAGACTGGGCCGCCTTCTATAATTGCGACTTCCATTCAGACGGCTCCGTCAATTTCATACTTAACCATTATCACTATTGTAATTCCGACCATTATCGCATCCGTTTGAGGCTTCCACATCCTTTATACTTGTCTGCTGCTCTCTCTTAATATTCCCTGATTGATGAACATCAATTCTCTCTTTTAGTCTTTCCTGTACGCTGGATCATTACCCATTCAGAGCTTACAGCTCTGGGACTTGTCAAAGAGCACACAATGGGCCTTCTGTCTGTCTGTTGTCCTCAGACAGATTCCTCTGTTGTTACCGAACCAGATGACAGAGCGAGCTCCGCTTTCGGACCATAATAGCACAGGTGTACGTGAACAGTTTGTCAGCAACTAGTGCGATGGAATCGGCCTTGACTTCTCTAAAAGGGACCTGTGTCATCTAATCAGCAGCAAATGCAGTTGTGAAGCTATTCAATGAATGCTATCTTTGATTATATCTAAAAAGCAACCAACGGAGAGAAAAGTATGGAAACTGCTGTTGCTGTCCTTCTGAAAATGTTAGTTGTTTGGCTGATTCGCCAATCTAATGGCATTAACACTTCCCAAATTACTGACCTGGAAAAAGTATACATAACAGTCCTAATTTCACTCTGACACTTATAACTTTGCTCTCAGTGGCTGCATGACGAAAGTACAGAGCAAAACTTAAGCCAGGGAGCCAGCATTTTCAGAAAATAGGTCAGCAATGGGAGCCTCCAAATTTCTCTCCAGCTTCCAGCTGGCTCCTACTTCCACTGCACATGAGCACAGCAGCCCCATTCATTCCTGTGGGTAAGCCATACTCTGCTGGATGGCTGGAGACTACCATGGGTATTACTTCACTGCAAAAATAAATGGGGCCATGGCATGTGGGTGCTGTTGGAAGCCAAACTGGACCTTTTCCTTTCTGGGGTCTCAGGTGGGCTGTGGGGTTGTCAGGTAGGCTGTGCGGGGTCTCAGAAGTACTGTGCGAGGTCTCAAATGGACTATGCTGGGTCTCAGGTGGACTGTAGCGGGGACTCAGGAGGACTGTGTGGGGTCTCAGGAGGGCTGTGTAAGGGGCTCAGGTGGGCTGTGCGGGGTCTTAGGTGGACTGTGGAGGGTGTCAGGTGGGCTGTGCTGGGTCTTAGGTGGGCTGTGTGGGGTCTCAGGTGCGCTGTGGAGGGTGTCAGGTGGGCTGTGTGGGGTCTCAGAAGTACTGTGCGGGGTCTCAAATGGGCTATGCTGGGTCTCAGGTGGACTGTAGCGGGAACTCAGGAGGACTGTGTGGGGTCTCAGGTGGGCTGTGTGGGGTCTCGAGGGCGGCAGAAGCACTGTAAGCAGCTCTGTGTGGTTCCCCAGGAAGGAGTAGAGGATGTGTGGCCGGGCACAAGAAGGCTGCTGAGGTCCCCAGCAAGCACAGGACCTCAGGCAGCCGCTTCAGTTTAAATATTTAAAGTGCCGGTATCGGTGTTTAGTACTGGGGCATTTTTACAAGTACAAATGAAAATACTCGGTATCGCTGCATCTCTAGTCGGTTGCTTACCTGGCTGGCGGCGCCCCTCCTAATGTGGTGCCCCTCTAGCTTGGGCCCTGGAAGGGAATACACCGGTGTCAGCTATCAAGATATTTGCTTTATTCAAAAAATTAGTCTCCATATATTTATTGAAGCGCTAATTTCATACAAAACAAGGCAACATCTACTGTATATCAACCTCAGCTTATACCAGACCCAGGACAAGGCCAGTGACCAGGTCTATATCAGGACTAACATACACTGGACCTGGAGACCACACAGTTTGTTCCAGTCACGCACACTGGCAGAACACAGTGTGCAGAAGGAGGAGTCAGTCTCTCCTCATATGAAATATAAAATGAACTCATTATAAGATACAACATGCAACCAAGACAATACACATTTCTACTACAAAACATATTTCACCAGGTGGACTGCTGCACTTGGGGTGGGTGTAGGTGGATGGAGGTGTTACTTAAAGGTAAGCTGTACTAAAACTAATGTTGTCCTTTAACCTTTTCGCTGCCACCGGCATATCTCATACATAGATGGCAGTGGGCCCCTTTAAACAGACTCTCGGCGGCTATAGCGGAATGGTTAAAGGACAGCTTTGTTTATTACTAATTAAGAGCCCTCAGCACTGATACAGGCAGCGGGCTGACTGTCCGGAGGAGATATGCAAATATCACAATGCCTTGATGGGTGGATGTCAGTCTGGAGGAGTGGGCATTCCTGGGCAGGCTGTATTTTCATGCAGACCACCCTAGGCAATGCTAACATGCGATCCTGAGCATCCATTGTTTAAAAAAATGAAATCCAATGAATGAAAAGGGAGGACCAGCGACAGTCAAGATGGAGAGGAAAGAGCTTAGATGATGCTAGAAGTCCTCAGTCAGGAAATGAGGCAGGCTCTATCTGATGTGCTGCAGCTTCTAATGTATGATATGAGAAGCTCACAGTGTGCAGGAAAATCAGAAAAAGCAATTTCAGTCCAGGAGAAGAGCCGGTACAACTGTGCAAGACTGAGGGGAAGGCCGGAGTTCTGTTGTACACAGTAGTGAAGGTTTATAGTGAACAAAAGTCTCTGATTAGAGTAAAACTGAAGTGCAAAATTGTTATCTAATTTAGTTCTCTCTATTTTTAAGTTTAAGACCCTTAAGAAAATGAAGGACAGTGAGGGATAGGATGAGAATACCTGTCAGGTTTTTACTGTGTATGTTCCCCTCACTTCCTGTTCTGATGGCTGGGGGTTGGAGGGACAGGAAATATTGGGAAATCCCAAAGGGAACCGATATAGTAACAAAACCTCTTAGAACCTCTGTAAGGGTTTTATTGTTGTCTGGGACTTCCTGTCTCACTGACCCCACCGCCCTCATTTTCTGTTCTGGTGTCACAGGGATAAAATGTGAGGGGAGCCTCTCTAATGCTGTGAGACACTGCAAAATGTGTGCCCGACTATATCCAATAATAAAAAGGTTTTGGTTGGATATGGACTTAAATGAAGCTGAAGTGTAAAATGTCCATATTTTTCTGTTCCCAGGTGACTGATAGCTGCAAGAACGGAGCAAGCCTAAGAATACAGGGCCCGGAGCAGTGGTCGCTACTTCACCTGGCTGCAAGAGATGGACACACTGAGATAGTCACTTATATCCTGGATAATGGTGAGTATTGTTAGATGACACTGGAGGGGCCATGTCTGGGGCTTGTGTGTCCCAGTCCCCGAGCTCCAATAGAAGTGAAATATACACTTTACAGAGGCATTTCTAGAGGGATATGCAGACCCAATTATGAATATATTTGAAAATATATATAAACAATCATGACTTCTGCTTCAATTATTATTGTAAAAGTAGGAATGGAAATATAACTGAACTTTTACTGTGAATTGTACATTTGCCGTGCAGCCTCTGAAAACAAAATGGCAGTAGGATGGATTTGGTTTGCTAGTTTTCAGCACCAGGAGCCTTGGGTCACGGGAGGGCGCTAGGTTTTGTCCTCCCGTGATCCTGAGGAGAACTATGGGGAAAAGCACTGACCCCATAGTTCTTTAACAGAAGGAAGAAGAATGACTGTGGAAGGAACAGAGGATGACGAGAGAGGAGATGAGACATGGATGGAATTGGGGGGCAGGGGGAATGTTAACAGAGGGAAGTAGATTGTGCATGGGTACAAATGAAGGAGAATGGCTAAAGTGCTTTGGGCATGGGTGGATGTGGACTAGAATATAATTGATCCACACAGGATAAAAGAGCGCTATGATCTAAGAGGAAAGCAGAGTGGTTATGGATGGAAGAGCATAATAACAAGAGAGGAGGTAAGGAGCATGTATAGAACTTGAGACTGGTCACCGGGGGGAGTGCTTATTGGTGGAAGAGAAAACTGGCAAGAGAGAACATGGATGGAATTGGAGCAGTTTGACATCCAAGATATGTAGAGTGGGCATAGGAGGAAGTGTAGAAGAATAGCTATGGAGCCGGCATGGGTGGATGTGGACTAGAATATGATTCACACAGGATGAAAGTAGAGGAGTATGACCATAGAGGGAAGGAGATTGAACATGGGTAGAGGTGGGGGACAATGACTTAATAGGAGAGCAAAAATCTTCCAGTACTGACAGGAAACAGTAAATGTCCTTCTCACTCTACATAAGGAAGGATTACAGGTACAATAACATTGACAAAAAAATATACTAACTTTGTCTCCGTTCTGGGTAAACTCTATGTGTTAAAAAAAGGACTTTCTTAAGGTTACATTCCCAATAACGATATCAGTATTACTGCTTTATCACTCTCACATTTATCATGGTTAATACCAAGCTCCTTGCCTGGACCAGTTTCAAGGATCTGATCTTCCAAGAATCCCAAGTTATTGCACTTATTATAATTATTATTATTATAAGTTATTCCCAAGTTTACAGACTTTGTCAAGGATATGAGTTCAAGGGTCCGCACGAAGAGTTTAATGTAATATATGCACATATAAAACAGTAGCATAGAGCAGCGTTTCTTTTTTTCTTTGTATACCCTGCAAAAGTATACCAAATCTTCAGGCACTTCAGTCTAAAAGATAAATGTAAAATCTTAGATAGGGGTCTGGCATGGTATAAACACAAAACAACAGTGCAGAGATCCCCCCTTCCTATTAGGAGCCCCCATTTAACATCAGAGCCCTCCCCTCACATCAGAAGCTCCTCTTCACATCAGTAGTTCTCCTTCACATGAGAGTCCTCAGTCTGCCCTTAACAGTCCTACCTTATAATCTTCACCACAGTGCAGCAGCATGGCAGAGGGTGGGAGGTAGAGGTCTGGACAAATGCGGACTTCTGTCCTCTTCTGAATGCTGGGGGCAGTCCTGGATGCAGCCCGACCTGGATTAGCATCCTTAGTTTCCATGGTGCTGGTGGCCGGCTCCTGCACCACAGGAATTCATGACGCTGTGCGAAAATATGAAGGCACCTTTGACAAAGCCAGAGGGTACCCCAGAATATTGCAGCACCCTGATTGAGAAAGGCTGGCATATGGACAAAATGGTAACTAGAGACAAAGTGGAGCCTCTCTTTCCTACAGAGATAGGATATCTATCTGTTTTTTGTGTCATTCACAAGTCATGTACTTGCAGAAAAACCAGAACCATGTGAGCCACAGAAAGCCACGTGGCTCCTCTTTACCTACCCTACATCCACCCCTTGATTTCTGCTGTTGGATGTACCTACAGCTGTGCAGTGGCCTTCTGGCCCTACAGTCAGTGTTTCTGAACAAATCAGCTAATTTTCATGTTACAATCATCTGGTTGAAACTTTCGATTTGACTGATATGTTGCCAAACCACAGGATATAAAAAGAGACAGAGCCCAGCTGCTGAAAGAGCCAACGCTTATTTTTAGTAGAACACCTTGCAGCCCACATAGTATCCGGTATACATGGAGCTTTTCTAATATGCTATTAAGCCAACCTGACAAAGCTCTCCACCCAAACTACACTATATGGCCAAAAGTATGTGGACACCCCTCCAAATTACTGTGTTCTGTGTTTGCAGTGAAGGGTTTTATTAATGCCACAGCATACAATGCCATTTTGGACATTTTTGCGGTTCCGAACTTATAGTAGCAGGTTTGAGAAGGTATTTTTCTGTTCCAGGATGACTGTGCCCTTTTGTGCAAATCCTGCTCAATAAAAACACTGCAGAACTAGTTTGGTGTGAAGGTACTCAAGTGGTCTGCACAGAGCCCCAATCTCAACCCTTCTGAAAACCTTTAAGATAAACTGGGATGCTGTTTTGCGAGTCAGCTCTTCTTGTCCAAAATCAGTACCAAATATTCTTTTAGCTGAATGGACACAGATTCCCACAGACATATTCCAAAATCTTGTGCTGGGCCATCTTTCCTGCAGGGCAAAAGGGGCAACTGCCCTGGGCCACATAATATACAGGGGCCTACAGCAGCTGTCCCTTTCGCCCGGAGCTGCAGGCAGGAGAGCAGAGGCACCGCTGGTAGCAGGGGCAGATGGGACTGCTGGCGTGTTGACAACCAGAGTCCTGAGTTTATTGCATTGCTGAGTCTATTGCGTTGCAGAGTCCTGAGTCTATTGCGTTGCAGAGTCCCAAGTCTATTGCGTTGCAGAGTCCTGAGTCCATTGCGTTGCAGAGTCCTGAGTCCATTGCGTTATTGCATTGAAATAAATAAATATATACATACATACATATATTGTTTTTTAGTTTCTTTTCAGGGGAAGGTGATGTATGTGGATACAGGGGGTCTGGGTGGGGAAGGTGGGGGGAAGGGGAGGCAAGCAATGCAGGCAGTAGGGTTGTGGTGGCCCATGAGCAAAATCTTCCCCAGGGCCCAATTAATATTAAAGACGGCCCTGTCCCTGTGTGCTTCAAGACTTATCTGCAGCCTACTCCTCCATGCTCTCTGAGTTCCAGCGTCCCATGCCTCCTCCATACACTCATGTTGGAACACCAGGACCCCGTGATTGCCCATGTCTGCCTGACATCGTGACATCTTGTGTCTGGGTTTCAGCTGGCCTGAAACCTGGACACAGCAGATACAGGACTCAAAACTCAGACTGTCAGGGTAAATCCCAGACAAGTGGCAACCCTATGGAGGCCAAATCTGCACCCACTTCATCAGGCTTTTGAAATGTGAACATTTTTGTTTGAAAGATTCCCTGTGAGCCAGTGATTAGAGGGCTGGCAGAGGCAGTATTTCACATAGAAAGTCACAGCCAACCCTTTTCTGAATAGCTTGAGTCCCGATCTTGCTATCGCAGAAAGAGTCGCTTTAAGTCAGAATCAATGATTTGGTATTTGTGATATGCGCCCTACTGATTCACATGAAGTAATATTAGGTCCACTATAAAATGTGCAGATTCTCTATCTCTTGTTTCTGTATTTATGTAATAAAGGTTAAAAGAAAAACTGTGGTGCTCCTCTGATTTACTATCTATACTACTCTCTGAAATATTACCATTCCAAAAAAGTTGCAGAGCTGCTGGTATTATCCAGTATTGCTTACTGAAGGCTGTGTGCATGGCAGTAATTGGGTTAAACCGAAGCCTGGACACGACCTCAGATCACTGTCCCAGCGCTGCCATCTTTTCACAGTCTTCACAACAGTCTCTCTTTTTCTGGTCTAGATTTTCCCTGCGGTCTCTCTGCGCGATATCTTTGTATCCCGCGCCTCCCCGCTGCTTCCTCCCCCTCATTCTTCCATTCATTCCTGCCTGTTTTATTTGTCTCCTTTTCTCCCTCTTCTCTTCCCCCTCGTCCCTCCTCGCTTCTCCGGGCACCCGCTGGGCACTGAGTGACAGTCTGGTAATGGCATCTCCTCTAAAGCTTCTTCACTTTTTTGTGTTCGATGTGGATGGAGATTTGGGACGGATGAGTGCTGATGCCCAGGCGACGGGGCCTGAAATGTGGGTAATGGCTCTGTACTTGGTCCAGAGCCAAAATTATTAGAATGCTTTGCTTGTCACATAGAGGAAATCTGAAAGGAAATGAACAAGCATCTTTTTATTATATAGCGATGGCATGATGTTGCGTTGCCCGGCTGAGGTCCTCGTTGCCCTCTAATGGTGCATATTTAAGGTTCACAGAAACACTGGTTGAAATGAATCGGCCTTGAGGGCACGCATCTTAATCTATCCATCATGTTTTTGTAAAAAGTCATAAAAACAGAAAACAAAAAGATGTGGGCAAGTCAGCAAACCATTGCTCAATGTGTGAAAACATACACTGCACACAGGGTCAGTCAATGAAACTCAGTACATTGACAGCATGATGCAATTTTGATGGTACTTATATACCTATTGTGACCTAAGACTTCTCATGATCATTATCTCTTTGCCTTATGATTTGATTTACACCTAAGTCAAAAGGTTACACCCCCCTTTCATGATTTACTGCGGTCATAAAATCAAGAATATTAAGGATCAACACTTTACAGGGATTCATTGCACCCCCTTCCACCCCCTTCTTCAGGGCTCTGGGTAACTGTGTAAGCAGAGGACCAGTTAGGTACTGAAACTGTCTTCTCTGTGACCGGAGTGTCTACAATGTCCATCAGTATCTGCTTGGTGACAAGCTCCAGTGTCTAACTGGTATTTGGCTTACACCATTTCCCAGAAGAAGGAGGGTGTACCAAAGCCCCAAAGAACATTGGCTGTATTTCTATGACTGCCAGTCTCAATAAAATAATTCTGGATCTTAAAATATGAAGTCTCATATAAGACTCTTCCTACTACACCTCACCCAATACACACTGATTGATTTCTTAGAGTTGTGTTTATTATTATTATAATACAGGATTTATATAGCGCCAAGTATGCGCACTGCTTTACAAAATGGGGGAGACAGTACAGTTACAATTTCAGTACAATAGGGTTAGGAGGGCCCTGCTCATGAGAGCTTACAATCCATTACGCGTTTATCCTTGTGCATCATGCCTTTGAAATAACAACATTCAGGGCAGTGGCACTCTCAGAACTGGATGGAATCCTCAGATGTGGCAGGTGACAAACAGGTCCTCTTTAAGTGGAAAAAAGTAAGTTAGGAACCTGCCTGATGTGCCGACAAGCAATCTTTCTTTACCATAAACCACAACACATAAAAGTAACGTCAGCTTTTCAGGGTACCTTTCCCTATAACATGCGTTGAGGTACACAACCTCAGAAGATTGCTACAAAGCGGAGTGGAAGTTATCTCTGAGCAGATGTTTGTCTCTTATTATCCTGATCAAACCTAGCAGAAACCTTAATGTACAAGATGAAAGGCTCGGCGCATAGATGTTGTCAAGGTTTATTATGACATGTATTAAGATTCAAGGGCACTCTCTGACCACCAAAGGAAACCAGACTCCAGCCAAGCAGCCCCCTTTCTCTGCAGAATCCTTTATTTTGAGAATATCTTCCCAGTTAAGGCATCAATATTTAAAATAAATCTGTTAAACTCCAGCAGATAAAAGTGTGGTTCGATATTTCCATTGCAGTACAGAGTTAGAAAGCGAGAAGGCCCGCTCTCCTGGTAGGAATAGTCATTCACAAAGAAGAGGGCTGAAGCCCCCCTCCTTCTGCGCCGCAAAGTCACTGCCGGCCTTGCTGAGTTTTCTCCGTCGCCTCTGTGTAATCTTCAATGCTGTCAAACTTGGTGGCATTCCCTGGGGTAGCTCAATGTCAGCAATTACGGAGGGCACGTCTCCAGGAACCAAGGGGCTCCTTTGTTGTGCATTTTTTCTCCCGATTTACATCATAAAAGAACACCATGGACCCCTTCTTCTAGAATTCCAACCATCTATTATTTATTTATGTCACACATCATAGTAAGTCTAGAGGCCCTTCATTATCCCCCTCGCTAAGTCTTTCTTGCAGCTCTCCTTCCAGATTCTCCAAGAATGACTTCGGCTTTGAAATCTTTAACATATGCTCCACTAGGATTTTAAAATTAAGTCTTGAGGTGCATTCAGAGAGCATGGCCTACCTGTCTACAGCTGCTTTTTTTTACTCCAGGTATAGTTATAGTGCACCAAGCCACCCACAACTAACACAAGCCAAAACTTTTTATTGTGTTAGTTTAGATAGAGAGGGCAAGGGCTACAGCCTCCGTAAAGTTTGTATTGCTGTCTCTGTCCCTTTTCAGGAGACATCCCTTCACTTCCTGGCTCTTATGAAAGGTTCCTCTTATGATAAACATCACAGCATTAAACTGAAAACCTGTGCTTACTGTAAATGTACAATAGTGTCTCGTAAAGACCCAGAGTGTTGTGAAATTACATTTAAATATGGTTTTTCTTTGTCTTGGCAGGACCGGAAGACCTGCTGGAGATGATAGACACAACTACGTAAGTAGTTATGCTTGACTGGATTAACACTACAGAGAGTGTTGTGTATGACTGTACTGCCTAGGCCAGGTTCAATTCACATAATTCAATAATATGCAATTTAAAGATTGTATTATGTGCTATGCAATTAATCTTTTCGATGACAATGAGTGCCCATAAGCATAGGAGTGTGGGAAATGTAACAAGCAGTGGTGAAACAGTAGACATAGCAGCCCACGCAGCTGCTATGGGGCCTGAGGTTAAAGAGGGCCCCATTACGGAGGCTAAATAGGAAAATTAAACTGTGAGGTTTCCAGTATAGAATTGCTGAAATCAGACCACAGGATTGTCTACTCACGGATCCCCCTCTGTGCAGTAAGAAGCATTTGCTTATGTATCCAAGCAGTGTAGATTTATTGACCTCTGAACTGCTGCTACAGACTGAAATGAACCCTGTATACCTAATGCAGTCACCAATTCCAGAGTCTGCTAAAACCTTATAGCGGAGCTGAGGCTTGTAATTCTACAAAAATAAGTCTAATGAAGCGCGATTTCAAAGAAGTTTGTATTAGTGTTGAGAGTACAGTAGTGTTTGTGAAAGCATTATTCATTTTATCACAATATAAAATACCATTATGGTTATTGTTAGGGATGCACCGAAAGTTCAGCCGCCGAAACAGAGTGTAATAAAGATGCTCCGGCAGCTGCTTTGGTTGCTCGTTTATTTCACAACCCACACATCTTCTCAGAAGTTCAATTTCTTGGTCTCCCTTTCAGTCTCAGAGCAGCCTTGCCAGCTTCTAATTTTCCTCCACTGTGGATCTACAAATTCCATAGCACCAAATTAAGCCCTTTGACATCTAGCACCACTGATCTTCATACTGATATTTCATAAGCTCAGAAGGACGGGTATGATTTATGCAGCCTCAGCACCTCTTATAGTAGGGCACTTCATATACCAGAAATCTTGGCTTGGTGAAGCTTTTAAAGGTTATGCAGGTGAAGCGGGTAAGAGGGAAGCAGTGCAGACAGACACATCAAATCTTGGAGGAACAAAAGCGATCAGGATCTGCAAGCTCTACAAATTACGTTGCTCACAAGTACAGTCCCAGGGCAGCCATCAACCTCAGTTCTGTGTGCGTCCTGTCCTTGGCGCACATGATTGATGTTGTCCTTCAGTACAGACATCACACCCTTTTGTCACCAGGTAGATCATACTCTCTATTGCCAAAATGTATACCAGAAAATGCTGCTATGTAGCAGCATTTTCTAGAAACAGAAGTGAATGGACGCAGCCGGGAGTGAGCATGTCGGACAGACACCGTGGGACCTGAGGAGTCTGCGGTGGATCAGAGACCAGCACCAGCGCTGGAGGGACTGTTGTAAACAAGTGGAATATAGTGCAAGATAGGGTGTGACAGGTCCTCTTTATGAAGATATCAGGGGTCTTTCAGACACACAATGTCACCTAGGGACCCCAAAGAAGCTGAGGAAGCAGAGATCTGCTTCCCCAGCTTCTTCTCCTGGCTCTAGGAGAATGTAAATAGTGACACCGGAAGTGATGTAATACACATCACTTCCAGGTCCAGTAATGGGAGGAGAGTTCAGCGACTGGAAGTCACTAAATCTCTCTCTGATCATTGCGGGGAGACCCGCCAAGTTGGTCCCGGGCACCGCACGTGGACAGCGGAGGGGGGGAGGGGTGCCACACGGTACAAAGGATATGACAGCTGTATAGATGTCGAATCGCTTGTACATTAACAGCCATCACTGGCTGTTAAAAATGACACCAAGAACACGGCTGCTGCAGCAGCCGTGTTCTTGTTTGACCCCTTGTGCGGGCCGCCGTCTATAGACGTATTGCGGCCCAGAAGTGGTTAAGAAGGTCCTGTGACTCTTATCTGCAGCCCCCACACCCTCTCTCCCCATTACTGATGAGGAATAAGCTCGTCAGTCTTCTGTTGCTCCTTCACATACTGGGGGTGGAGATGTGACCTTGTTGTATTGCATACTACAATAGAGAAAAGTCACCAAGCTAGCTGTGCAGAGTTTTGAAAATCTCAGAACTGGATGGACAGAAATACAAATCCTTTGTCAGCTAAAACAGCTCCGTTATATGTATTACATCTGTGCATTTAGCTCTTTGTCTGGAGTTCAGCTTTCATTTATGTCCCAATTGTTTCTTGCAATGTGTACCTATCTATTGTTTTGTGTCTTGTAGAGGGGAGACGGCGCTGCACAAAGCTGCATTCCATAGACACCGGCAGGTTTGCCAAATTCTTGTGGATGCCGGAGCTTGTTTAATACAGAAAGATGCCAAGGTGATATATTTGTACTGCATTACTCATCGCTCAATTCTGAATATTTCAATTCCAATTAGCGTGTTTATAGTCGGAGCCTGTGAGGATAGAGACTTGGGCATTGCCATTGCTGACTAGTTTTTGCAAGACCCAAAGCAGTTTTCCTAATCTTTGCATCACAACGAGTCACTGATTTGGAAAAGGTGTATAGATTGGGAACTGTGATTTCACTGGTAGGATACTTGTTATGGATCAGGGGCTCACTAAATAGTGAAGTCAGGATGATTGTGGCAGCCTTAGCCATTGTTTCTAGGCAGGCATGAACTTTATAAATACATTTGATTACATCTAGAGCCAAATTGTTTTTTAATTTCCATGTTTGGAAAGAGTAGGAAAGGGTTAAATCCCCTGTCAGATTTTGTTTGCCATCTTTGTTCTATTAGAAATATGTCCTGTCTTGTAGACACAACAGGGAATTAGAGGAAATCTCTCCAAATTGAGGGAAATGCCCCCTTAGACAGTGGTCACTGGAATAGGTGTCCCTTTTGGAAGATTATACCTCTTTACCTGCTCTGGTGAACTCAAACTGTTGGATTTCCCATCACTTTCTGTCCTGAGAGCAATGATGACCAAATAGAATATCTCCCACTGTGTTTTAGAAGCTGCAGCAAGTCAGTTAGAGCCCGCCTCATTTCCTGTCTGTACGGTGTCCAGCATCATCTAGATCTTTCCTCCCCAGTTTTACTGTCACTGGCCCAATCAGTGGATATCAGTTCTTTTATTCATGGAGGTCTTTGACACCTAGGGTGGTCCGCATGCAAATGCAGCCCGCCTAGGAATGCCCACTCCTCCAGACTGACATCCACCCATCAAGGCGTTGTGATCTTTGCATATCTCTTCCCAAGAGTTAGCCCACTGCTTGCATCAGAGCTGAGGGCTCTTGAGAGGAATATTGGGTTAGAGTACTGTGATTATTTCAGGAAGCTATTTACTGCACACTGCTGGACCCTTCCACTAGCCATGATGCATAGAGAAAGACAGAGAACTAGTGATGACATCACTAGGTCTAAAATAAAAATATGTACTGAAAACTGAAAAAAAAATGTATTGGTGGGGAATGGGGGAGCAACCAGGGAAGGCAAAATATAAGCAGATTAAATGTCAACTTTAGGAGGGGTCATTCCAACAAAAACCAGGTTTGAGTAGATGCTGAGGGGTTAGTTCACCCCCCAGATTTTTATATCCATTGGGATTGTATCTACTCGTACATCTAAATTCCCACCTACACCTACCACAAGCATTGTAAGAGTCCCACTCTCTATGTTGGATTTCACATTGCAGAGAATGTGGCTGGCAGAGTGAGACTCCTTAGAAAGGAGGTAGAGCTGGGAGCTCCAACGGAGAGATCTAGCTGCCGAAGTTCCCAAAAGATACAGTGATCGTCCCATCAGCATGTGACTAATTAGAAGTTTGGTTAAGCGTGAGCTTGATGTTATAAGAACAGAAAATGCTTTCCTCGTATGTCATTACTAAGACTTTACTGTGTCTTTAGTCCCTGGGCCCATTCAATGAGGTTGTGTTTGTTTTCCTATCTCTCATTAGCTCTCCTTTCCAATTTCCCCAGGGACTTACTCCTTCTGACAGGGCCCAGGAGGCAGGGGATGCAGATCTGGCATCCTACTTGGAGTCTTGTCAAGCTAAGCAACTCCTGCCCAACGAGGACCTGGAGACGGCAGTCTGAAGAGGGCAGCAGGTGGCAGAAACAACTCGGAAAGAGCAGAAACGTGAATCGGAAAGTTCCTGGAGATGGTCCACCTCGGGAGAAGGCAACTTGACGGAAGAGTCACCCCTTCTTGAAGCGAGATAAGCGGCAGAAGGTGTGCTGTCCAGTTTCTAAGGGCTAACAGGACTTACCACGGAACTGCTGCCCAAACGACGAGCCGAGGGAATGCGGAGGTGGGGGTGAAGGACGACAGAAGTTGGGGCTGACCCCCCTCGCCCCGCGTGGATCCCTGTTTCTGTTCTTCAACAAGACGCATGACCCTGTCCATTGTCTGTCTCCTCACGTCGGCCCGAACCCACCCAGCCCAGTCGGACGGCCTGTGCAGTGTTATAAACCTCACGTATGTTTTTAGTATCTGCAGAGCCGATTTATGAAAAAAAGAGAAACAGGATTCTACTCTGAATCTGTGTGCTTTCAATTTTGGGGAAAACAGTTTTCTTCGTTGTTCACATAACATCGTGTGGCAAAGATTTTTTTTTCTTCTCCAAGGACCACTGAACCTACAAATACAATATCAAGTACGAGGAGACCCGTTGTAACATTCACAATCGTGTATGTAAATGTACCATCAACATGACATAACCTGTGACGTCTCACGTGTCTTTTAGTTTTTTTTGTACGGATCGTTTGGCTCATTTTAGGCTCCAAATATTCCCTGTGCTAGCTTCAAGAGAACCGGTCATGATTGGGTTTATCTGAGAATTTGAACAGGATAATATAAATGTGTCGGCTTACTTATTTAGCTTTACTTGTCAGAACAGTTGTTGGGGAACTAAAAGACCACCTCTGCTATTTTTTATAGCGCCCACAATTTACACAGTGCTTTACATAGTTGTACATTCACATCAGTCCCTGCCCTCAAGGAGCTTACAAGGAGCTTACAAGGTCCCTATTGTACACACATACATATGGTGACCATTTTGGAGAGGAGCCAATTAACCTTCCAGTATGTCTTTGGAGTTTTGAAGGAAACTGGGGTACCCGGAGGAAACCCACACAAACACAGGGAGAACATGTGAACTCCTTGCAGATAGCGTCCTGACCAGGATATGAACCGGGGACCCTCAGTGCTGCAAGGCAGAAGTGCTAGCCACTGTACTGCCCATCACCACTGTGCTGCCCATATTCTGGGTATAACAGGAAACATGGTCACATTGGGACCCTCCCACCCCCTCTTGCCCCTCCACTTACCTGAATTGCAGGGTACTTCTACCTGCAGGCTGCTGCTATATTTTGAAAGCAGCGTGGCCATGCATGGTCTTTGACAGGATCTGTGAATGGAGAAACCACAATGGCAGCCACAGAGGCAGAGGGTCGTGTAGTTCTCAATGGAATACAAGTATAATGACGTCACCGCACCTGTAGTCCAATTATTTTTCCTCCTGTCTATGTTGCTGAATGCCCCCACATCAGCACATTCAGCAACAGGAAAGGAAGAAGAGCCTGCAGGAGCCAGAGTATTGCACCCACAAGCTATTTATCGTGGTTGCAATATTTTACTGGCTCCAATGCAAAGAAAAAAAATGCATTTTGTTTCTTTTTATTATGAAGAAGTACATTTATAATTATTTTGGAGGAAGTGGACTTTCCTTCACCTATACGTCTCTGTAAATCAGGAACTGTGACCACTTGTGCGGGCATGAGGTCAGGCTGCTGACAAGGCTGCAACTGTCAGAACTCAGTTGGATCTTTCAGCTCTGAACCTCAGATGCAGAGTTACCCTCATTCATATAAAAATAGAACCTCAAATCTAATAGAAGCTTTAATGTGCTCATGTCATTTCAGTATCATGTTTGACACTTCCTGTTATGGAGTGACAATGCTCTGACCCTGATCCAGAATCACTCTATAATGTCACATGGGCTTTCAATAAAGACTAAAAGTCAACACACATCATTAAGGGCCGGTTCACACCATAAACAACGCACTGTATCTAATTCCGGCCGGCTTCCTGCGTTCAGGGGTGGGAGGGGGGCTTGGGAGGTTTTATCCTTTTTTCCGACAGGTCATAGGACCTGAACGTTGCAGAAAGAGGAACTCATAAGACCTGTGCACTGGAAGAAGGAGAAGTCTTCAATTTTGTGCTGATTGCAAGTCAGGGGTCTCAGAGTGTCGCCAGTTCAAACTCTGTTTTTTATCTTTTTGAACAAAATGGAGTCTTGAACATCAGATGGATCCTTCGCCTAACTAGCTTTTCCACCTCACTGTGACTGTTGTCTAAGAGGCGATTCCCCTCACTTTGGAAAGATATCCTCTCACTTCCTGTTGAGCGTACAGGACAGGAAGGGAAGGGAAATCTCCATGATGAGACACAGATGGCAAAACAACTGACAGCAGTTTTAACCCTCCGCTAGTCTATCCAAAATGAAAAATAAATAGCTGTGGCTTTAGATACACTAAAAGTAATATTTAACAAAAAGGGAAACATTCATAGATAAACTATATATTTGTCCCTGCACCATGCATACATTTCATTATTATACCCGCAGGTGTTTATTCAGAGGGGAATTCCACATCATATTATCTTGACTTTAAAAAAAAAAAATATGTCAGAATTACTGGACGTATGTCGCTATAATCATCTCTACCAAAATTCCTCCCACTCCACCTCTTTTCTCCTCAGCTATGTGTGGGCGCCACCAGGCTGAATCACCTACCAGCATTCTATGTTATAAATGCACAGTCATGTGACCCCCCCTAACATAGCCAGAATGATGAAATGACCTTCTTCTGCTTTCTAGAATGTGTTGTTTATCCTGAAATATAAAGAATTCCTCGAAGGGGTAACACCATCTCTAGGCTTCGCAATGGCTGCAACTAGGGATGCACCGATACCGGAAAGCGTGCAATGACTCGCCACCCAGGTTACTGATTAGCAGGGAAGCCCTCCCCATGCTTCTCGTCACTAGGTGACGAGAAGGCATGGAGACGGCTTTCTGGCCAATCACGAAGCCGGGCGCCGTGTAATGACGCGACGTCCGGCTTTCTGATTGGCCGGTAAGCCGACTCCATGCTCCCTCGTCATGAGGTGACAAGGGAGCATGGAGCTGGCTCCCCAGGCAATCAGAAAGCTGCACAGCATGTAATGACTCGGTGCCCAGCTTCCTGATACCGGTATCGGGCTAGGCATCAGAGCATTTGGGCACGGATACCACTATCGGTGCATCACTAGCTGCAACCAACAGAACTGGAAGTGGTGATATATTACCAGTGAAGTCTGAAAACTGAAACCAGGATGTGAGGCCTGGTTCACAGTGAGCGTTTTGTAGCCATTTTCTGCCCTAAAGAACGCTCAAAAAATCTGGCCCCCCAAAAAATTCCCATTCATGTCTAAGGCCCTGTTCACATCTGAGCGCTTTGTCGCAATAAGCAAAACGCCTGTCGCTGGAAAAAGTACAGGAGCTTTTTTTTGTTTGCATATTGCAGCTCGTTTTGGCCCTATAGACTCAATAGGAAACGCTTGAACACGCCTGTTTGCTTTGTTTATGTGCGTTTAATGCGCATTTGCTCATTAACATCAATGAGCTACAATCTGCTCACAAAAACGCATTTTGACATATGCGCATTAAACTGTGACAAAACAAAATATGGGACACATAAAACCCTGGGAACATGAAGGGGCCGATGTATAAATGCTGAGTGATGGCTGTGTACATGGCATTCCCGCCACTAGATGGAGTCAGGAAGCATAGGCTATGAATATGCTTGTCAGCTCCATCTAGTGGCGGGAATGACATGCAAACAGCAATCGCCCAGTCGTATGGCTGGCCAGAAGATTTCTAAATCAGCCCCAGTGTTTTTATTGTTCTCTACAGCTTTGGTGAAGTCTATGCTTACACTGTCAATATTTCTCTTCTGACTGGTATCATGAAATCAACTCCCCTACCGGCTATTCTGTCAGTTTTTGACCGCAGCTGACAGAATACCTGTTAGGATGCAGTCACTAATCGGCCAACAGTATTCCAACTGTAGTCTTTTATTTTTCAGTTGACTTATGTGGAGCCGGGTGGTGCCGATAGGGCCACCCACAGCTTAAATTTCTGCTGATTCTTCAGAAATCCGATGATGTTTGAACCTCGTATGGCCAGCTTGGGGTATAACAGACCCATTACTTATTCCGGGTCTCTGGGGGCTTTGCATACACTTTCATATAGCTCTACAACTGAACTCCAATCACAAAAACAATAAAATATTAGACACAAATGTTATAAATCCCCTTTGTGTGCGCCAAATACCTTTGCAACCCAGATATTGCATTGCATCATTACTGAGCGGTAGACTAGCCTGTGCAGAGGGCAGAACTGTGGGAGGGACCCAGCAGGCTCCACCCACTACAGGCTGTCTGCAGAAAACTAGAGGAGGGGGCGGAGACAAGACCAGTCATCCTGTACAAGGAAAGAAAGCAGCAGTGAGCGCTCTTTATTACAGGAAATGTCACTGGATGAGTGCACAGATCTGGAAGCAATACACAAAGCTCTCTGAGATTCCAGGAAGAATACGCAGGACTCCGGTATTTAGAGAATATTTGCTCCTCCCGGAGTTCAGTTTTAAAGTTTATATTGTTTCTAAGGCAAAATATTTAGGTAAGAAGAGTTGCTGCAAAGGCCCCCTCATCACCTTTCTACACAGTATCTGAATGTTCTCCTAGTCAATAGGCAAAGTTGGGACACAAGAGGTCCATCTAAAACCTGCGCAGACATGAGTGATCCAGACTGTGAAGAAGTTCCTCTGTAATAGGACATTAAAGTTAAAGAAGAACTCCGGGTAAAATGTTCTTAAGCTTTGCAGTGAGGCCACTGCATCCCTTTCCCCTTGTATTGTGGGGGGTGGTCCCACTGCATCACTTTCCCCTTGTATTGTGGGGGGTGGTCCCACTGCATCACTTTCCCTTTGTATTGTGGGGGGTGGTCCCACTGCATCAACTTTCCCCTTGTATTGTGGGGGGTGGTCCCATTGCATCCCTTTCCCCTTGTATTGTGGGGGGTGGTCCCACTGCATCACTTTCCCCTTGGAATGCGGGGGGTGGTCCCACTGCATCCCTTTCCCCTTGTATTGTGGGGGGTGGTGACACTGGATCCCTTTCCCCTTGTATTGTGGGGGGTGGTCCCACTGCATCCCTTTCCCCTTGTATTGTGGGGGGTGGTCCCACTGCATCCCTTTCCCCTTGTATTGTGGGGGGTGGTCCCACTGCATTGTTATATTTTTTTGGATACTCCAACCGCGAGATCTCCCTGACATAAGTCCTGAGTGCTCCTGTCCACCTGGGAGCTTTGAATGTGTGAACCCCATCCCAGCTCCTCCTGTCACATTCTTCATAGTATAAAAGGAATACAAAGCCCAGAACTGATGGCTCCTCATAATGGGCACATCGGGTGTGTAGACCCGGGAAATCACACAGAGGTGCGTGTCATCAATAGAGCCCCCCAGTGCCAGAAGAGACTGTCGGCGGGTTTAATTCTCTATTATCCTTCAAACACTAAAAGATCAGTCTTGGGTGGACTTCCCCTTTAAGTGACTGGTATGAACACAGCCTTGTGCCAGGAAAGGGTGAATTCATCGCCCTATGGCTGCACCCGGTAAGAATGAATAGTCA